CACACACACACACACACACACACACACACACACACACACATGCACGCACACACGATATAGCTCAGCCATAAATTGGGCAACTGCTTATGTTAGCAAAAGAAATCTCTATCCCAAAGCAACTGATTTGTGAAATGAGAAATTTGTATGTGTCTTCCCTGCTCTCAACTACAGCACCAACCCCCAACCTTCACTCAAGACTCACCAGGGAAAATTCCAGAAATTTAACAAGTATGTTAGAAATAGGTGTGACTTTATTTGGGGGATGTGGAGCAGCTCAGTGGTAGGGACTTGCTTCGCATGCCTAAGGTCCTGGATTGAATCCCCAGCACTGCAATAAAAAAAAAATTGTTTTAAACATGGGTTGAAGTGTGCACTAATCAACATGGGTCAAAAGTGTACATGGAAATACAATCTTCAGTGTCAGTTTACCTGAAATGAGGTCTTTTCTTAAAATAGGATCAAGAACTGCTATTTTTGGATGGTACCAAACTGAGGAATGGAAAGAAAACTAATAAGGAATACAGAAGGGTTATTATATTATGCAGTATGCAGTATTATAGAAATATATATAAAATAGCCCGTTCATCATCGAATAAAAATGAAATATCACATTCTTCAAAGAGAAACACACAAATGATTTTCTTCCAACACACACACACACAGCCTGACCTCTCCCAACTCAGACCTGAGGCTTGGCAGGCCCTGACTGCCACGTCAGTGCAGCTCCCCACCCTCTGCTGCCTTCCACACCTGCCGGCTGCAGGGCTCTCAGCGTCCAAGGAGAGCAGCGATGGCACCCCACCCCTGACTCTCTCCTGTGCCTGAGATGCAGCTCAGTCCTCAGATAGAGGAGGGGCAGAAACGTGGGGGGTGACTGTGGGGGGTACGGACGTGGGGGGCTATGAACAGGACAAGGGCCCCGGTGTGCACAGGCCTTGAGGGCAGGCCCTCCCAGTCCTGGTGTGAGAGTTCCCTACTCCACCGCAACAAATCACCACAAACCCCGTGGCTGCAATAACACGAATTCTCTTTCAACAGTTTCATAAATCAGAAGTCTGCTATGATTTCTCAAAAATGATGGCAAAACTCACCGTGGTCCTCAGCCTTTATCCTGTGCTTGCTCATGCCATCCTCAGGGTGACCCTGTGAGGAGGTCCCATGGCCAGATCTGAGGGCTTGTAAGTCAATGGAAACAGATTAGAAGGAACAACTTGTCCCAGCTGGGCTTCAGTCCAAGTCCCCGCGTCAGAGCTGAAGCCGTCACTGCTCAGGTGGCTGAAGGAAAGACCCGGGAACGTGAGGCCAGGCGGGTCTGTGCCCTGCAGTCACCTGGAAGGCTCTGGAGACGTGGAGGTCCGGTGAGAAGAGAATTCAGGACAGAGGTGTTGCTGGCTCGGGGTGAGCCACAAGTCTCCTTTGGGTGATGTCCAGACAGCCCAGGCCAGGGCTTATCCAGGCCTCCTACCTGCACCTTCCTCAGCGCACACCACCGTGAAGGGACCTGGCCTCCTGCCGTGGCAGTAGGGAGTGTGCACCTGGATGCCAGCTCACCTGACCTCCGTGTTGGCCACTGATAAGAGTGTGGTTGTGGGACAACTCTCCAGCCCTCGGCCTCCGTCTCCTCACTCTAAAGTGAGTGTAATAAAAACATCTAATTTTAAAGTAGTCGTGAAGGCAGAGTGCTTTAGTGTGTGTGAACACAGGAGCAGACCCTGGCAGGCGGGACGTGTTAGCGTATTATTATTGGAATACTTGATAAGGTTTCCAAAATGACGGCCTCAAAAGAAAAGCCATTTCCTGCTTCTGCCAAGAAGTGCAGCTCCTGCTCAGCCTCTCTCTCTGGGAGACCCGTCAGGGCCCCCACCACAAGTACATATATGTGCACAATTCCACCTTTGTTAAATTCCACACGATCCTCCAAGTGATCATTTCAGGAGTGTCTGCTCTCCACAGTTTAATCACTGGACCTAGCGCACTTTATTTGCTCCAATTATGGCTTTTTACTTTCCACTCACACTAAAATGTAACTGCACTGAAGGTACAGACTTTCTATGCCTTGCTTTTCACACTCAGGTTGGAGCCTGGAGTGTGGCTGGTCCCCACTAAGCATATGTTGGGTTATCTGATGAAAGTTTCAGAATTCAAGGTTAAGTTTTATGGAAGAGATGTCATTATTAACATTAAGAGATGTCTGTCACCTTCTGTGCTCTTAAGAACAATGCCCTGATGCAAGTTTCCCACAGTTAGACAATCATCACTGGTAAAGTTTTTGCTTAATTAGGAGCTGATCATATGAACCCCTGGACTCTTAAAGCTAGTCCAAGTGTTCTGCACAAGCAGAAGGAAAGGGTTTGTTTTCTTTTAGGTATCAAACATTCTACACCAAAACCTGCTCAACAGAATTCTGACACAGAAATGGAAGCCAAGCCAACCTGCTCTTCTACCTTCTAGGGCAAAAGCCTCCTACGGTATCACTGAGACACATTGCCAGCTCGTCCAGGGTGAGGAGGGTGCAGTGGGGCCATGAGGCACAAAACACAGGACACCTTCACCCTGCAATCCCATTGCAAGCCCCATGAATAAGTCCCTCCACGGCTCTGGGTGGGCAGAGTGCTCTTGGCAGACTAAGGTACTCCTCCTGGAGCACCAAGATTGCACACGTGTCTAACAAGATGTGCGAGCTCTGGGACAGGGTCAGCCATGGCTGACTCCCACCCCAGAAGCTGCGCCCCACATGGGAACCAAGTCCCGAAAACCACCCAGGCTGGGGAAGCAGCCTTGGAGGGAACAGAGGCTGCAGCTCTCCAGGGGTTCTGCTTCATTAGAGGGGTGTCCTTCAGATGCACACACTGCTCCCGTGGAGACTGACCTGAGCGCATGACACTGAGGGGCCACAGCCTGGCACATGCAGCCCAGAAACACCAGGCGAGGCAGCTGGGAAAACAGGGGCTTTGGGAAGCCAGAGCATCGGGTTCTTTTGACTGTGATTCTGGCGTTGTCTTCTGTCAATTTCTTTTTAGAAAACATTGAGCAAATGCTGAGGCTTCAGGGGCGTCTTGGGGAAACTCGCTGCAGAGCTGTTGGATTCACTCCCAAGGGCACTCTTGGATTTAGTGATCAGGACAGACTTTTAAAAAGCTGACACACAGTGACTACCTGTGGCCTGGTGCAGCGTGGCATTTCAGGCTCGTGCATGGGTGCCAATTTCATGTGTTTTGTGACAATATAAAAATCAATGTAATTAGACCTGAGGGTGATAATTGTGAACAACAATTAAATCCCGGATGGGAGATGTGGAGGTGGGTTGGGAGTAGAAGAGTCAGAGCATCCGGGCAACCAAGGCTTTATTCTTCTACTTTTCTTCCTTTTTTCTTTTTCTTTTTTTCTCTTTCTTCTCTTCTTCTTTTTAATGTCTCTTGGAAAAGCTCCAAGCTTGGCCATTTTCTTCTTTTTCACAAAATGCAGCGTAGACATGGGTCCGAGGTCGCCTGGGATGGCGGCCTGCTGATCTGCAGAGAAGCAGGAACCCGCGTCTTCTGCCAGCACCCGTGCTGCCCTCCGCACTGCGGTGGGTTCCAGGGTTCTGTTACCACAGCATGGCACACTGGGTCCTGACGGCAGACCTTCAGAATCACAGCTGGGAGCAGCCAAGTGAGAAGTGTTTAGCAGCTGTGCTGTGGTGGGATGAAGCTCAGGAGGTTGGGGCCACTCTGTTCCCCCAGGGGCTTCCCATGTGGGACACCTCTCAGACTTCAGCCCCGAGGGGCTTTGGAAACACGTGTGGAGGAAGGAGGTGGGGGTTGCCATTGAACAGCACGTTCTCGTGGAAGGCCTGCCTGTCTGTGACGTCATCCTCCCCTGGCCTGGCCCAGGGAAGAAGTAGGGAGGACACGAGGCCCCAGTCCTGCGCAGGGTGCTCAGCAGTTTTCAGAGCAGAAACGATTTCGTGTTTCTAGGGTGACCTGGGGCTGGGAAAATAATGCATTTACTGAGGACACCAAAAGAGGAGGGTTGTAGGCAGGAAGACAAATGTTTTATTTATACCTGCTTTGTAAACAACTAGATAGTTAATGTCACTTTTAAAATAGCATCCAAACTATTAAGGCATAATGATTTAGGAGGGAAATAGTACAGGGCAAGCATAATAGTGGGTCAGAAACGCCAGGTTTAATTTCCCCTCCGTCCGTGCCCAGAGTCGATAATCACTCTCAGTTTGCATTTCTTTATCTGCCACGTAAACAGGTTTAACTGTGCAGTCTTTTCAGCTCTGTTGCTCTTGGACTTTGTGTCAGCATGTCACATTAGTGACTACAAATCACACAGCTTTCCTGAGCCTGCCCTCACCAACTAATGTGAAGCCACTGATGACAGAATTATAGAACCTGGGACGACAGGGATGGAAGACACTAATCACATGCAGTTAATATAAGTACGATGCAACATATGTAATACACTTATATGTGACAGTTAATATAGCACATGTAGTGGGTCCAATGTGATACTTGAAACTTTCGTAATTATTCACATCAGAATTTTAGCTTTTCAAGAAACAGAATATTCTAACCTCCAGAGCATATTGGGCAGTTGTTTTGTCTTGTGAAAGCACCGTTTTAAGTGACTTTCCTTTGGTCATTTCCCAGTTGAAAGTGCTCAGACGGCCCTTGTAGCAGTGAGAGGTGACTGGACTGCTGTGTTGGGGAGGGGACAAGGAGGCCCTGCTCTGCTGGGCAGCGGGGTCTAGAGACACCTGGTTCCCTGTCAGCAGAAAGAATGAGAGACAGCCTCCCCACGTAGCTCAGAGTCCTCGGCCCCATGTGACGCAGCCCCGAGACCCTGCTGAGACACTGTAGCTCTTGACTCAGACAAATGACGGCAGCCTCACTTCTCCACGAATGGGAAAGGAAAGGCGGTCATTCTTACACCACAAGATCATTCAGAGTGGGGGTCACATTTGACGTATCATATTTCCCCACTAAAAATGTTTTAAAACCTGCTTCTTAAAGTGGAATGGAATGAGCGTTGGCCAGGCTCTTTGCTCCCCAAGAAGCACATTTCTTAGTTGTAAAAACGGTAGTAAAAAGTACAGCACTCTCATGCACCATTTCCTGAGGCCATTATGGCCATTTAACTTGAGAGCTTCCTGGAACTTGTAATACCGCGGGCTTATTGACATTTGTGGATTTGGGTCCAGCTTATGAGGAGTTCAATGCCAATGGCAACTTCGATGATAACCCTTACCTTCAAACAAGGTGTAGTCTTGATTGTCACACAATGCAGACCTGAAGATACCATATCAGATGAATCCTGGATATGTTCATGCTGTTAAGCAGGACTTACAAGACTCCTTAGGAATGGTTGTCCTGCATCCCTGCTGGCCGGTCATGGAGCACCTCCTTCCTCCTCGGGAAAGGCTTGGTGTGCTCTCCACACAGAACTCAGGGTTACCCCTTGCTGCCACCTGTACTTCATTACAAAACCCTCAAGCGTGGGACTTGACACCTGTGGAGACACATCAAAGAATACACGAGATTCTACTTACACTTGGGGCTTACCGCTCTTTTGTCCCAAAGGAAGGAGAGTTATTATTTTGAATTCATTGCTCCTCTGTATGATCTTTTCTCATTCAGTGGTTATAAAATGAGTACATGATTGACGGGGTGAACAAATGAAGGGATGAATCAGTGAATAACTATTTTTGTGGCACAAATGATTGGAGACAATACAGGACCCCTCTAGAATCCAAACTTTCCCAAATATAACACAAATTTTACAATGCACAATTTGGGGGCCAAATGCTCTACACTTTTCATATTTAAAAGATCAATTTATCCCAAGGAAAGAGAAGTAAAAGTAAACTTTACTCAGGCTGAACACCGAGCCCACAGTTCACCCTAGCATATGCTTTTATCTGATAACATTACCAGAATTTGTCAAAGTTTACAAGGTAAATGTCACTCTAACTGTGACAGCACCGGTTAGTGAAAAAGGAGAAAACCAGAGAACAGAGACTGTCAGTGCAGTGGGGACAGGTCAGCCCTGGTGCAGTGGGGACAGGGACAGGTCAGCCCTGGTGAAGGGGGGACAGGTCAGCCCTGGTGCAGAGGGGACAGGGACAGGTCAGCCCCAGTGCAGGGAGGACAGGTCAGCCGTGGTGCAGTGGGGACAGATCAG